ACACAGTTAACCCGTCCTACGCTATAAGTGACGCAAGTTGGCAAAAGCCAGTACAGTCTTCTGCATTCGTGCTGATATTTCGTCAGACACAGGCCAGCAGCAGTGATTAGACTCCCAAGATAATGAGAGCCATCAGTAAGAACACAAAGCAAGCCAATCCTGAAACAACAGTTCGCATTTGGAAGGCAGAATCTTATCTATTACATGACTACATTGTTGTCTCATTTTGGGATATTCTGACTAATGACGTGAAAACACCATTTGTTATTTAAGTCACATAGTTTACGAAGCTAATATATTCAAGTTCCGGAATAAGTTGACAAGACTATGTATAATTTGCACATTATTTCCAGTTTCAACGATACGTTCTCCCAGATATTACTTCTAACAAATACGAATCGCCTGATCAATACAGACCAGTTCCAACGTTTTTGAGAATACAGTCTCCAGATTATAGTCTACGGACTTTGTTGCCTAAACCATGTGACAGATAATTGAGTAATCGGAGAAATGTAACCTTCTAAGTTTATTCCTTATATTTTCGTGTTGATAACATTCTAGGGCTTGTTTTATTCTTATTCGATAGCGAGAAATATGACTGTGGTAAACTTTCTTCACTCGACATAATATTGAATAATGCATTATCCAAAATGCGCATTATTCCCCTCATGTTAGCAGTCGATTCCGAGACGGTTGCTACAAGGTTGCTGCTTCACTACCACTTACAGTTTATACTGAAGTTGAAGGCTAGAACTTACTTGAAGTCGAACTCTTTTATATAAATTCACAGCATTATTGCTTTGTCTAGCTACCGCCCACCACCAACCTAGACTTCGTAAGACAGTCTTGCTAATATCAAACCTGCATTTCGGTTAAAGCTCAGTCAACAGAATCATAGATAAAATCAACTTTCCTTTAGTTTCTCGCTGCAGAATCACATAACTCAAGTTCTTGATTTCTAAATTTGCAGTGGTAAGGTAAGTTCATCTTGCAAATTAATTGTATCACATACAACTTGTTAAATAAAGAAACTAATCTCCTAGCTGTACAAAAACCATCTACAGCTAATTACTTCTTTTATTGTGACACTTGATATCGGGTAATGCAAAATAGCATATCATTTTAGAAGACTAGCGGCTACTTACATTGGACTGATCTATAATATATATACCGACGATGTTGCCAGTACACACAAATATAGACTAATCTCATAATAAGAACCTACTTTCTGATAAAGGCATCAATCGCAAATAATTCCCGCTCGAGCTAAAAAAAAAACGGTGGCATACTAATTTTTTCATCCTAAGTTGCTAATCTATAAACTGTTGGGACTATAATCTGCAAAGGACCTTTTAGGAGCGAAAACGCGACTTTGGGAAAGTGTTTAATTACTAGGCTCTGGGGAAGGCTGAATATTAGTATGAGGAATTAGAACAGAGTTTAAGAGTTAGAAGTTGTGGGTGTGAATTTGAGCTAGAATTTTCATCCAGAATTGAGATAATTCACAATGCCATAAGGCTGTTATAGTATATAATCTTTAGTTATCAGCACTACCGTCTACTTTGAGACTACTAGCCACTATTACGACAATGTCTGACGAAAGTATACGTTTATTACGTAACAAGAAGCAAATTTCAGACTATAGCTTTGCTTACCGTTAATGTTTCGCATTTTACTACTTTTCGAATGCATAAGAACAAAATCTTGCACGATCTCATCAGCTAGACTTTCAAGCTTTTTCAATAGGACTTCGATTGGTTGCAATTTTTCGGCTTTCGCCATCTTAAACTCGTAAGAAAAACGTAATTAACACACCTTATCAAAATCCTTGGCCTCGGTACCATGTTTTATAGTGAGGAAAACTTCCTGTTCTGCGTCAGTATTATCTAGCAATTTAGAAGACAAGGATATATGTTCTCACCTGACTGACTTTCAAAGCATACTTCAAATAGATCGAAGTCTTCCGTAGTGAATGCAAATTTCCCACTATTTATATTTGTTCTTTGATATAATATATTTTTTTTTACATCACGGACTTTGATATGAGTTGTGTGTTGATGGGGAGCAGTAACTTCATACTCGCCATGTACAATAACGTCTTTGTGTGCTTCATCTTGAATACACTTTTTAACACCATTTTTAAGCTTAAACCTAAGCCCCTCAGTTGTCGATAAATAGCAAAACAATAAGCATATGGCAAAGACGCCACAAGAAGACCTCATTTACTGTTCTGTACACGTCTTAACGCCAAGTTCACGAAATTTCTACGTTAGCACAGAAGAAGATTACACAGTGTTCAATATTTACTTGATTGACCTACTATCTAAAATTTAGATGATCGGCTAATGTAAATGGAATTAATAATAAGCACTTGAGTATTGGTCTTAAAGGGCAGTTTCAAAGTTTGTTATGAATCCAATGAATTCTTTCAGTCATTTTGTTTATTCTCTGCTCACATGCCTCGCCTTAGTTTGAAGCGGTAGATAGGTACCCATATTAAATAGTTCTGTAACTCACAGACAGTGACGTTGAACTCATTATTCTGAATGGGCACAGCCTAACAGAGAGCTTTTGGTCACATATTCACGTCAGATCATCATTAAGTACCCTGTGCTTTGCATCGTTTTGTTACTACTAGCAAGTTTAGAATACATACTTATCCACTGTCCTTGAAATATAGATTCACATTCTTCATTTCTGACTTGTGGTTCGACCGTGTTCGGGATACTCTGTTATCAAGGTTTTACTGAGAAAAGCATCCTCATGTTCTCAATGTCCGTGTCGCTTTCAATTTTTGCTGATTCTCCCGAATTTTTCGGACAATAATGATATTCCTCGAACCAGTAGCCTTCACATAATTAAAGATTACATTGTTTATGTGCAGTAAAGACATTTTCATGTTTCAGGAATAATAGATTACAAATAGTTAAGTTAGGATAAAAAATCATCAGATATCAGTGAACTTTCACTGAATATTAGACAGGTGAACTACGCTGAAAAGAGATGGACAAATTAAGGTTACGTGGAGGAATAAAAAGGGTGCATGATTTGCTTGCTTCTGAGTGAGTACAAGTTTCTTCAGCCTCAGACAGGTTTGGTGTAATCGTGGATAATAGACAAAAGTACAGTTTTTCGATCAATGTGGCTTTTATAAAAAACAGATTCATTTTGTTGAATGTACAACGTCATTTGAGAGACTGATCACTGTAGTGTAATCTTGGGCTATGTTTTATTTAGACAATTTGAAATGTATAAGCTTCCAGTTGAGATTCAATAATGCGCATGCACTAACGCATCATTTGAGCGATTTATATTTGACACCATGCTGTGCAAACTATTTTAATTAAATGTTTACCTTCAGGACTTACCTTTATCATATTCGCTCATAGTCCATAAATATCTTTTTTATAGGTAGGTCAATACTGGCAAGAAAGGAGCTTTTTTGCGCCAGTGATAATCGTAGGAAAGAAGATTGTATTTCAGTCGTTCGCTATATTAACTAAAGGTTTTAATGTTCTTCAATTTACTCCGAATCTCTGAATTGATGTAGGGTCACTAATTTAAAAATTGTAATGAGGATAAGTCATGAGTTCCTATCTTCAGCACCTTCCCTGTGAAAAATTTATATGCTACAGCTTCACATTAATTATCGAAAACAAGCGCTGGAGTGTATATTTTGGTCCCTGAAGTTTGTTCAGAGGTCGTCACTCCGGCACAAGGTTAACTGGTTTCTCTTCGCAACGCAGCATGCTTTGTTTACTAAGCTTTTAATTGTCATCTACTTTGAATTAGTACATGCTTGACCCCCATATAACTATCCATTACAAATGACTGGTGAAGTGTAACCAGTTTTGTATTACTCCTAAAAGTGTCTGCTTAATGCTCACCAGTTTTATCCATGTAAATTAAGTTTAGTAACTCAGTAGCTGAATGGTCCTACTCCTTCAGGCACTCGCCAATAATTGTATCCTTAATCGTACTAAATAGTGTACGCTACTGTAAAACTGTGTTGCTGATGTCTGTGTGAAATAACCAGTTACAAATCCACATGCCTAACCATCACACTGAATTTGTTAGGAGGAAGCCAAATAGTTGCATTTTACTTTCAAGTACTAACCACGACGTTAATATTCATGCTGTGTGGACATAAATGATATAAACCATGATCTAGTTAAGGAATCCTTACAAGGGGTTTTTGTGGATGTCCATGTTATCCATTCACCTCGTACAATCTTCGATGACTTTTTGGTGCTAGATGAAATAATTGAGATTCATATATAGGACATACAATACAGGAACATCAAGATAAGCCCTTTGAGATGTGTGATGCAAAGTTTCGCTCTTGTGATACTCAGAATTCTACGTAGGTGTTTTCGGTATGTAAAATTCATAAATAAGCTTGCATCTAAACAAGTTGGAATTCACAACACCAAACAGAATTTAGGTTAAGTAGTGAGATGTTCTTTAAGTTTCTTTTCACCGAACCATCTTCATTAATGTCTATAAAGCATGTAGACTAATTTTGCTCATCACTCATAACCGCCGAAAAGATCCCAAATTTTGTGTGTTAGACCTCCACTAGAGTACTGCCTTACTATATCCGGTTTCAAGAGTTCTATAGACCGACAGAACATCGAGGAAGTATAATGGTACCTTATGGGAAGCATAGAAATAGGATCGCACATGGCTTGGACGAATTAGACCTAATCTTAATTTATTTCTCGAAGTTCTTCCCAAAAACTTCGATAAAATGTGTCACCTTAAAAATGGCCAAAATCAGTATGACCACTAGGATTAAGACTATAAGATCAGGACACTGAGAATATCAAGGAAACTGAAGTAATCTTACGTCCTTGCATTCTATGCAGGACTCTGAAATAGGTTATGCACAAATATCCGGTTTAATCGGACTTAAACAAAATTTGGTTGCTCCGCAGACTGCTTTATGAGGCCAACTTGTTGTTTTCGGTTTTCCGTACGGCGAATCTAATTAGAGCTGCATTTAACAGTGTGCCACATCGTATCAAGTATTTTGAATAATTGACTGTTTGAGCTGTATCTGTAGGAGACTTGGAGAAATTGTAACTCTTCAGAATAGCTAACGGATTATTATCATATATGTAATCTCAATGCATAATTACTAAATAACTAGAATACTAAATATTCTTTTCTCCAGTAATTGATTTCTCATGATTTGCTATTACTAATCCCTTGGCAGTTTATCGTTCAAGGACTCCCAAATTCACAGCCGTTTTGGGATCGTCCATGTATAAATGTATTTTCCCATATAATAGTGTGATGCGGTCTGATGTAATTCGCATAAAAACCTCACCTTTTTGGAATATTATAAACTTTGTGGAGTTGACTGGAAACCTATTGTCTGAAAGGTAGGGTCGACTGAAGATATTGTGAACCAATAAAGATTTCAAGTTGATATAATAGAACAGGTTCCACAACGTATTTCTCATTGGTGTTTTGCATTTGTCATGAGCTATGGCTAGAAGATTCGACATACAGAACCTCTCATTCTGTGACCATATCACCAACCCCAGCTTTTCAATTTTCATCCACACTCAGTGTTCATTTTTAACGATTCCAAGCCTCGACCAAACGTGCTTCATTTGCTTTTCGCTTTGTTTGCCTTTCGTAACTATTAAACTTACAGATGTCCTTAGTGTTCTCTTTTGATATGGTTCTGAACTATATGTGTAGCACACACTAGGACTGGAAATAACCTTGTAAAAAGACTCGGCGACTCGTTGAACTCTTTTTATCCCTACTCTTTATTTTAAAATTAGAAGTTTCTCAAACTCTTCTACGTACTCATTTGCTCCTACCATCATTTTTGCTTGGAAACCCGTGCTTTAACATATTCTGGTTTGCACTGCTTGTAGTTGAATTCTTCATCGTGACAGTTCAATTCGATTCCAATAGACTTAGGTTGGACGCACTTCCCGATTTTGAAATTAAAACACAATAATTCTAGGGGAAAATGGTCTATTTACAAATGACAAACGGAAATACAAATAATACCTGACTAATATTACGTCTTCCAATTCAGAATTACTCCGAACGAGTATCAATGTTCCGAGGTCTAGGTGAACTCCTATACTGCACGATGTCGAATCCAAAAATGTGGCGGTAGCCATATTATATCAAATTTAAACAACATATGTACAGTTCAGAAGCAAACATAAGAACTTCAATATGAGTACAAAATATAGAAAGAATAACAATATACAATGATGAAATCTCAAATTGGAATCAAATAAATTACCAAAAATGTCAACAGAAAAGGTCCGTCATGTCATAACAAAAATATGTAAACATGGAGGGATTTTCCAAAACACAAAACATTCAAAAAGGATTCTACACTGCTGTTTAAATATATTAACGACGGTCAAACTATCTAAATTTTCAATGTGCATGTATATGATACTCTTGTAAATGTTGAATTGGTAGCAAGGTATGGAACATAGA